TGGTTCCCCTCTCTCTCTGCTCCTTTGCTCCATTCTCCCGCCTCTTTCTGCAGATCTGTTTTCTTTATTTATGGCTTTTCTGCTCCCCCAAACTTGCCCTGGCCTTGGTCATGGCTGTGGCCCGTCTCCAGCCTCAGGATGCTGAGCTTTCAGGTTGCTCCCCCTCCGTCATCTGCCTGCCCAGCTGCTCACAGTCTCCATTCCCAAGAGAGAATCTGCCTGGCTCATGTTGGGTCGCATATCCATCCTGGTCCAATCAGCTGTGGTCAGAGGTGGCCGTGGAACAAGTTGGGATTGGAACTCAGGTCTGTGTTCCTACTTTCCCCCCTTCGTCCCTCTGCACAGATGCTAGAGCTGGAGGATGCGTGGCGTGGCTGGAGTCCTGGTGATCTGGACTCCGGGGGAGGCGCTGCTAGGCTGGGGAAGGCTGAGGAAAGTCCATGCTGTGGCTGTGGTGGCTCCTGGAGGGTGGTGGGCAGGGGAGACGCTCCCTGGTGTGGCTGACAGGCAGTTCGGACTAAAATGGACAGTGATGCCTTGTTTCTCTGGTGAGGGAAGAGACCTTGTTGGAGACCCGAATGTGGTTGGATATATCATAGAGAAACAGAGAAGTCATCGTTTATTACGTTGGGCATTTGGACCCAGGACCTTACCAGTCTCCCCCAGCTCCTGTGAAGCATGGACTAGCATCTCCATCTCGGGCTCTGCAGGCCCAGAGAGCTCGAGTGACTTGCCCAGTGGCCACAGAGAGAAAGCGGAGCAGCAGAGATTGGGACCTGAGCCTGCCTGACATAAAATGCGTGCTTTCAGCCACTGCCCTTCATCTTTGTTACCGTGGTGACATTTGTTCAGGACTCTACAGTTTACAGAGTATCCCGTACATGATCTTACTGGAACTACTCAGCACCCCTTTGGGTCAGCGTAGCCATGCCGATGTTCCCATTTTACCTCGGAAGAAACTGATGGGCAAAGAGAAGTTGTGACTTGCTCTCGGCTACCCTGCTGGTTGGTGGCAGAGCTGGGACCAGAACCCAGGCTTGGGCCTCACATATATCAATAGCTATTAACACGTCAAAATGTATCCATGTTATTGCTGGTAATGTGGTTCTCTTTTTTTATAACGTATAAAATTGGTGAAGAAAAACAACAAATATATCCTTCCCTCCAAAAGTCTAGAACATCGCTGACACCTTCCAAACCCCTCCGCAGTTATACTCGCGCGCCCTTTCTTCTCGGGTGTAATTTTCTATTTAACGTTTCCTCGCTTTTCTTTACGGCGTTGCCACGTGTGTGTGTGGCTCTCACCAGTTTGTTCCTCTTGCCTGTTTCGGACTTGGGCACTCGGTGTTGTGTCTGTGAGACTGTGCGCAGCTTTGGCCCACTCGGTTTTGCTTCTCGGGGAGCCTGCAGCCGGTGCATGTGCCGCTCGTGGGCGGTGGGGGCGGTTCGTCGCCCTTTGCTGGCACAGTCTGCTCCGGTGGCCGTCCTTGCCGCTGCTGCTGGGGAACACCTCCCGGAGCGTCCGTCATGCATACCGAGGGCTGAGATTACTGGGTCATGAGGTAGTCACTGCACATTTAGCGTTATGAGATAAAACCGAATTGTTTGCTAACAAGGTTCCCCCAGTTTACACTCTCCTAGTAGCTGACAATTCCTGTTGCTCAACAGCCTCCTAAAATGGCATGACACGATCAGATCGGAAAGGTTTACCCATCTGCTGGGTGACACTGGTCTCGTTTTAATTTGCATTTTTTATTTTATTATTCGAAGTGTGATGGGAGAGGTAGTTTGCACTACACGGCCCGTATCTCCAGTGGTGGCTGGATTACGGTCGGTTCCCCCAGCTTTGGTCAGGGTGGGGAAGGACAGCAGGCGGGAGGGGAGGCAGGGAGGTGGCCTCGGAATGGTGTAGCTTCCAGCTGCCATTTCTGACCGAGGCTGTCCATCCTGTCCTTCCCAGGATGTCACTCGCCAGCTTCTCAGGACTTTCCGAGTCCACACCTTTCACTGGAGTGAAGTCATTGGAATGCCTGGAACCCAGGGAGTGAGCGCCGGGTTTGCGGGGCAGGCCCGCCAGCCTTCCGTGAGAAAGGAGGGCGCCCCCCCGCCCAGACCGTCTGGAAGGAAGAAAATTCCAACAGTCCAACCCAACTTCACATTTTCCAGTGAACCGAAGTGGAAGGAATCTTCAGCCAGAGGCTTTGGGGGTGGGGCAGGAGCGATCATAATTTCACCTTCACCCTGAGATCCCAAACCAGCTTCATCCTGGAGGCACACGCGCCTGCCTTCAGGCTTTTCTTCCTGAGTCGAGGCGTGGAAATTTCCACCCAGGTTTCCGCTCCCACCTGGGTGACCTCGGACGGGTGACCTCACCTTTCTGAGCACTGATTGGTTGGCTGTTTGTCAGTAGGGGGCCCTGTTGCTCAATTCACGGGCCAGGTGACTCTTAGTTCCAGGGCCAGCTCAGTGCCCTGAACATACCAGGGGCCCCATTAAAGAGATTCTAGTAATATTCTTCAAACTTTGGGAATATTTTGGAGCAGGTTGCCTTAAGATTGGTTTTCTTAAAATGAGACTGCTTTCCCTCCCCTAGGCAGATTTTTAAAAAAAGTTTTGTATTAATTTTAGAGAAAGAGGAAGGGGGAGGGGGGAAAGAGAAAGAGAAAGAGAGACATCTATTTGCTGTTCCACTTACGCATGCATTCATTGGTAGAGTCTTGTATGTGCCCTGATCTGGAATTGAACCTGCAACCTCGGCAAATCAGGGTGATGCTCCAACCAGCTGAGCTGCCCAGCCAGGGCTAGGCAGGTATTTTTTAAAGATGAAACACCCACAATTTGGGGGAGTGGGAGGGAAACTACCACCTTCCAGGTTTGGCTTCTTAATGTTTAAAAATCAATTAACAGACAGACTGAACCTTCCCTACAAAGCTGAGCGGAGCTGTGGGGAAGATGTAAGATGATGATTCTTGACACCTTTCAGCATCTACTGGGTGTGAAACGCTGGCTTTGCCGGGAGCCTTGGACACTCCACAGCAGCCCTGGGAGGCAGGCGGGGTGGCCACTATTTGGGGGAAGAAATCTGAGGCTCAGAAAGGGTACGGGACTTGCTCAAAGTCACACAGGAAGGCTGTGATAGAACAGGGATTAGAGCCCAGGTTGCCCCAGTGGTCCAAGCCAAACTCTCCCCTGTGCCTTGCTGCCTCCCACCCCTGGGTGGCCCCAGCCACCTCCTGGGCCTTATCTCCTATCCTGTCTCTGGTCTCTAAACTCCAGCCAGCTGGTCTCTTTGCCGTCCTCTGACTATGCTTTGCACTTTCTGACCTCTGGGCCTTTGCTCTTGCTTTCCCAGCCACCAAGAATGCCATCCCTCTCAACTTGGACTGTGGAACTCTTGTCCTTAATGAAGCCACCCAGTGGGACAATATGCAACCCTGAATGATGTGTGGGAGTGATTAATAGAATATTGTTCAAAATATATTAAGTTGAAAAACATACAAACTACATAAATTCATACATAATTATAATGACCACATTTTTAAGTATATCTACACAAACTCTGACTTGTGTGGAATGCTACAACTCCACGAGGAATCCCTGTAATTAATCTCATTTCTTCCAGGTCAGTTTAGCAAACAGGCTCTGAATGCTCCGAGGGAGAGACACGGTGGGGATGTAGATGGGCCTAAGGGGTCTTGGCATTCCTCTTACCAAACCCACGCACCCAGGGGCTACCTGCCCGGCCCGCAGACTTCAGCTGGGGTCCTGCTGACTGCCCTCTGGGTTGCCTCACTCTTGTTGGCAATACCAAGGGCCCCATGCCCCAAGAGCCCCAGGGCTTGCCCACGTTCCAGACCTTGAAACCCAGACTCAAGGCCAGAGGGAAGAAGAAAATTGAGTCTTCAGGATTTTCTTGTGGCCGAATTTCCAGTTTCTATTTGGAAAGCCCAATGCAGTTTCTGAATTTGAACTTTCACCATGAAAAATGCTCAGGGTTTTAATTTCTTTGCTTAACAAAAGGTGTTTGGTTTTGCTTTTTTAGAGGGGAGGGATTAAGAGTCAAGCTTGTTTGCTCTAGGAAATTTGGAAATTTCGAAATTTCCTATGACTAGAGGAAAAGTCACTCCCTCCACCAATTTCTAGAGAAATACATTGTAACAATTTGGTATCTTTCCTGGCCTTTTTTTTCCTTTTCAGTGCAGTTATTTTGTTTAGTTTCCACTGAATAAATAAAAGGATGTCTGATTCACAGTTTACAGAGCTGATTCCATGTACTTGTAACAAGCCTGTGATGCTTCCAGCAGCTGTGATACTTTGCCCCCTCTGGGAATTGGGGGGGTGGAGGTGGGGTGCGTCGCCTGCCCCTGTTTTCTCTTGACGCTGTGGAGGATGCCAGTTCGCTGCACCACTGGCAGCGCTAAGCAGCATCCTTTAAATCCTATAGTTAATCTCAAGTGTCTAAGGTGTCCTTCTAGAACCTAACTCTTTACTTTTTACTTTTTTCTCTTTAAAACCCCAGAACTCAGAACATGCGCCCTTCTCGATGAACTCACAGGGATCCGTTTGCTCTGCCTTCTCCCAGCTCGTGCATTCTTCGAGTCTTGGTAACTGGAATGTTTTGTCTGTTCAGGCTCAAAACGATCCGTGGGACAGGAGCCAAAGTTAAATACCTCATGACGTGTCAAGATGAACCTGGGAAAACTGTGAGCTGTTGACTGGACTTCCTCTCTGAATCAGCGGGTATTTCTTTTTGTCTCTAGTTTTAAAAGCTCCCCAGAGGCAACCTGAAATCCCCAGTCGTCTCAGAATAGGATGGGGGAAATTCTGAAGTTCTCCTTAAACACATTTCTCTCACAAGCTTCGGAAGGAGCCCAAGTGTCAAAGGCAAGAATCCCAGAGCATCGCCTACACTGGTGATATCCTGACAGTTTGTCTAACAGATTCAGCATGTGTGTGGTGGGCCTGACCATTTGCTGGGCGAAGTTCCAGAGCAGTGAGACATCCTGGGATTCATCTGGTTTCGGAAAGACCTTTCGCTACCAGCTGGCGGTCACCTCACTGTTCTTTAAATAGTCGAGCCTTGAGGTCTTTTCACTGTGGTCTGTTCTGATGAATGGCCCCACCAGCGGGAAACAGAATGACCTTGTTCTGTGGGCGAGACAACTGTGAAAGAAGAAGCTGTGTGTGCCGAAGTCTGTGGGAGGAGAGGACCACCTAGAATGTCCCCGCCAAACCAGTCAGTGGAAGGCCTCCAGGAGGCCTCCAACAGATCTCTGAATGCCACAGAAACCCCAGAAGCCTGGGATCCAGCGACCCTCCGGGCCCTCCAGATTTCCCTTGCCGTGGTCCTTTCCATCATCACCCTGGCCACGGTCCTTTCCAACGCCTTTGTGCTTACCACCATCTCCGTCACCAAGAAGCTGCACACCCCCGCCAACTATCTCATTGGCTCCCTGGCCGTGACCGACCTCCTAGTTTCCACCTTGGTCATGCCCATCAGCATCGCCTACACCATCACCCACACCTGGAGCTTTGGCCAGGTCCTGTGCGACATCTGGCTGTCTTCTGACATCACGTGCTGCACGGCCTCCATCCTGCACCTCTGTGTCATCGCCCTGGACAGGTACTGGGCCATCACGGACGCCCTGGAGTACAGTAAGCGCCGGACGGCGGGCCACGCCGCGGCCATGATCGCCGGCGTCTGGACCATCTCCGTCTGCATCTCCATCCCCCCGCTCTTCTGGCGCCAGGCCGAGGCCCACGAGGAGCTGTCGGCCTGCCAGGTGAACACCTCGCAGATCTCCTACACCATCTACTCCACCTGCGGGGCCTTCTACATCCCGTCCGTGCTGCTGCTCATCCTCTACGGCCGCATCTACGCGGCCGCCCGCAGCCGCAT